ACACAGCTCTTGGATCGTGGACACAAGGCTTAAGTAAGCTTGACTGATGTTACAGTCATTGCTGTAGATGGTCAAAACTTAAAAGAACTTCTTAGTATGGAGGGAAGTGAGAACAAACGGTATACATGTCAAAGCAAGACTGAGTCACTTCACGTGAAAAGGATCAGACATGTGGCCGAAACGTTAAATTTTAATAAATTCCCAGTGAGAAAAGATTCGTCGATCGACGTCGAACCGACGTCGATCGACGAATCATTTCTCACTGGGTTAGCCAGTTGTGGTCGACAAATTATTCTTATTCGTCTACCACTGGCCAGAGAAAATTTCAGTAAAATACTTTGACGCAAATTATATGCCCAAGACTCCGCACAATTACACACACACACATACACACACACACAGTTTAATACATTTCTTACCGATTTTTCGCTTCTTTCGACTGGACGTCTAGAAGGCAAGATGTCGGCATAGCTGATGCTGTTTGAAATTCGGCTGTGTCACATCCAGCCAACCAAACGGCCAGATAACGGCGCGCGAATATGCGTGTTCGCAAATATTCCTGATACGTGATTGAGGTTAGGTAACCTCAATCATTTATAAAGTGTGATAGTTTTAATTTCTCGCTTCTTCTTCGTGCTCCTCGCGACTATCCGACTTCCGTTCTTCGGTGTAGAGAGGAGTGGGATAGCAAAGTCTCCTCTCAAATTTGTAGCTGCATCGTATCTTCCGTGCGTGCTTGAAAGACAATAGCGACACTGGAAAGAGAAAAGAATAGATGAAAAGCACAGAAAGTTCACGGGCGAAACCAATTTTTGTGATTCCCAGACTCGAAAGATTCAACGGGGCCGCCTTTCCGACAGATGTCGCACAGAACGCCGTCGAGCGTTTCCGCTTTTCCTCGGCTGCACCGCGTTGCACTCTCCGCGTCGGGGCTGAAAGAGCGAGCGATCCGTCACCGGGGAAAAACAGAGGGAAGGTGAGAGAGACAAAGAGACAGTCGTCAAAGCGGCGGGAAACGTGGGTGGAAGGAGAGAGAGAGAAGAGACTCGAGAAAAAGGTGCGGAAGGTGCAGCACGCGGGAGGAACGGCTCTGCCTCGTAGGTTATGTTGTGACGAGCGCGGGTGCGTGACGTGCGTCTGGCCCTCGTTCCTGCGTTCGCGAGATACAAGGGGTAGGTTAACAGGCGCGGCATGCGGAGCTTGGCCGCAGCGGCCTGATCGAAGGCGCACCCGGCGAGAAGAGGAGACGAGGAGACGATTACTGTTGGACGCTCGTTCGCGCGCGGCGCGACACCAGCCCGCGGAGGTTATGACGTTACGCTGCGCTCAGCCACGGCCGTCCGACGGCCCCGGGGACTCGTGACACGCGGCGCCCGCATCTCCCGGCGAGGAGGATGGAGAGGCCGAACTCGAAGGAGACCATCAACCTGCTCGACCTGCTGTCGGAGAGCGACTCCGACAGCGCCGACCTGATCATCCCGCCGCAGAAGAAGAAGAAGGTCAAACGGTAGTGTTACACGTTTGTTTCGAGACTAGTCGGCGGATCGCCTCGATTTATTCGCGATAATAAGGCCCTGGTCTACGATACACGGAGTGAGCCCCGTCAGCTCTTAAGGCCTGTATCCACGATGCTAGAACTTGGT